CTCCTCGTCCTCGTCCTCTTCCTCTCTTCTTTGATGCAACAAAGACAGAAAATACAATGTACTGACTAAGAGTACAGACCGGGACATTATTGTTTATGTCCTTACTCAAATACTKAATAAAGGCGCCATGGTGCCAGTGTTGTTCTTGTCCAAAGCCATGGCACATGCMYGTCTCTTATTTGATTAGAAGAAAAAAATCTCAATTTTGTCGAGTTCTGTCTTAGGATTCTGGCGGGCTTTCTGTTGAGTCTTTCAGAGTTTTTCAACGGACTCGAAATTTTGAATCGTGAGTTCCATCATAAATTTTATTACATTTGAAAYGTCTGAAATGAGCTGTTCAAATGTAATAAATTTTTGTAATAAATGTGCTACTTTTGATAGACAGACAGACCAAAAAGTAGCACATCTATAATAACGGGAATCACCCAATCTGTCTACTCAGAGTAACCGCTGTTAGGCAAGGTGCACCAAGAAGATGCACACAGATAATCATTCTTGTTTATGATTCGGTCTCAAACGATCTGTCACAACAATCCAACTTCGTAGCTGTTTTCAACTGCCCGACAGAGTTGGTAATCGTTCTCAAACGACCCTACACAAGAATCTAACTTCGTCTATACCCGTTTTCAACTGTCCGACAGAGTTCAACTAGGGAAGATCGTCACGCACGTTCACATCCTTTATTTTGAGGTCACCCGCCAGACGCATATGCAATTAGAAAAGGGCATCATTCTTCCGAATCGCCCATTTTACACATGAACAAATATTACATCCCACGACCTCTGCCTAACTATTGAATTCACTACTTCGATACATCACGGAACGAAAAAGGCATCTCAACCGAACCCAAAAAAAAGGCGTACAAAACTTTGAATCCTACCTTACTTTCGGTCGCTGGAGGTGATTGCTACAGGTAGAGTTTGGCGGAACGGAATTAAGTCGGATTGTCTACACAAGAAAATTCATGGTGATTGAAAGCATAAACTTACTGCGTGAGCCGTCAAGTGTCGGATCGCTACGAATCAACAATCAAACCAAATTCTTTCATTCCTCTACTGGATTCGAAGAAAGCACTCTGTTGGAAAAGTATGGTGAATAAGATGCCTGGAAGCAACCTTAACAGTAGCAGATCCACTGGCGGCGCTGCTGCTATTCTATCTCGGAAGAGACTCCCTGCGTCGGGTGCAGGAGAAGAAAGCAATGGTGTTCGAACGACAAATAATGAAAGTCGCACTACTACTATCGGGCGTGGTGATGGAAATTCCATTCGGGATGCGAACACTGGAATTGAAAACAACAACAGTAGCAGCGCCCGAAGCAGCACAAGCGCCAGCACAAATTCCAATAACGGAAGCACCCGCAAGATGCGCCGGGGATCCTTTCGCCGGACTCTGATGCTTCAAAGGAACAAACGGAGCAACAATGGTAGCTCTAGCAGCCACTCAAAACGGGAAGGCAACGCTGTGGATGGGGGCGCCACACCAGCTACTGCCGTAACCAATCAGTTGCCGGTTTCGAAAAGAAATAGCACTTATCACGACCAATCGTCGGCACCAGTTCCATTGAAGGGCTCGGTGGGTGCATCTGTTGCTTTCGCGTTGGAGGAACGAGAAACCGGTGCGTGTTCTCCGACGTTGACATCTTCGAACGTGACGACGCCTGTTCGAGGCAGTCAGCAGCGGCACGAACGTCTGCCAAGGGGACACATCGAAACCATTCGCAAGCACTACGGAAGCAACAGGGAAGGTGTTCTAGACATCTACGAGGATGTTCTCAAGATATCTCCCGATGCGTCCGACCGAGAAATCCGCATTGCCTACTTTCGTAGGGGCCGCGAAATCTTAGGTGACAATGCCAGCAGCATCAAGATCAACAAGAAGAACCAGAAGGCGATCAAGCAGTTGGATCCCGCTATTAAATCGCGATTTCAGGCCGTTAGTATGGCCTATGAAATTTTGTCAACGCCGGCCTGGAAGGAGGCGTATCGAAAGCAGGGAGGGATACTAAACACGCCGGGAGCCAGGGCAAGTCCTCTCGTTCCAAAGGTAGTAGTAGAGCAAGATGGTGTCGGCTTGAGCCATCCTAGAATTACCGTGGGGAAAAAGAAGCAACAGGAACAAGAGCCTTTTGATCCTTTTGTGTCTTATCCATTGGCATCAAGGGCGTCATTTTGGGAGAATACAAACGCTAACACGGGCAATCCTTCAGCAATGTTCCCAACAACGTTTTCATCCGATCCAGTGCTACCAGCACCATCCACTGCTTCTCGGTCACCAAAACGCTTGGTTGGCGCTCTTAGAAAATCCAAGTTTCTCGGAAACAGCGGTGATGTAGACAACAGTAATTCTTCTCGAAGCAGACGACAGAGGCCCTCATCGGCCTCGGTCCGGTGGAAGGATCACGTCGAAGAACTCATCTTTGTAAACCATCCTGATGAACATGGTTCCAGTGACGAAGAAAGCAGCGAAGAAGCTGACTACTATTCGTCCGACGACGAAAACCTACGTGGAGATGATAGCACCGGTAACGACGCTGGCAATTCTAGAGCTAGTAGTCGCCCCGCATTGCCGGTAGCAGTAGATCTTTATTCCGAACCTGCGGATCCTGGCTACAATGCGCAGGAGAACAATAGCAACAACAGCCTTAGCTACAGCAGTCGTGGCAGTGGCAGCACCAGAAGAAGAAAGAAGAACAAGGCAAGGATTGTCATCGATTCGGAAGAATTGGAATCACATCTTAAACTCATGGACAGCGAAGCCGAAAAACATTTTGTGCAAGATTTTTGGGACAACTTTGAAGAATCCATGGACGGGATACTGACCCTAGTAGATTCAATCGGGGGAGGCGGAGGTGCGGCTGCAGACATCTCGAAGGCAAGCAACAGCAACAGCAACAGCAACAGCACAAACAAAACCAAGAAGGAAAAATATGACCCGTATTTCTGGTTGCCGTCCCAACCACCATCAGATGCTGATCAGAAACAGCTGACAAGAAACAGAAGAGAGGATCATACATTATGTGAAGGTACCACCATTGAACAAAGCATGAGCCACGACTCGACAATTATATCGATTAAATCCAGCACTGAAGATGGTGATGATGTCATCAAGCGGACCAATACGCTTCCAAACCCGCGGTCATCATCATCCTCCACAATTTTGAATACGGTTGAAGTTTCTTCCCTTACCTTGGATTCAAAACACAGGCAGCCTACAGTTATGACTCCCAACGACAAGGATGCGTCGCCCTACGACATGATACTAGGTTCCTGGCCATTCCAGAGCAGTAAGGCCGAAGGAAAGGAAGCAAAGATGAGAGTACAAACCCAACAAGCTACCACATCGCCAGCGCCAAAACTTGCTCTTGTTGATCATTCCTTGGATCAAGAATCATTAGCATCCGTTGCGTCAACTATTTTTTCTACTTCTCAGCGAGCACAAAAATCGTTGTTTCGTCCCATTTCACCGACTCCTCCCGAAGCGACGGAGCTGGCAAACAGCGATTTTGTTACAACAGAACCGTTATCTGACGAAAATTTCGAACTCGAAAGCCGCATTTCAGAAATAGAAAGTATCGACCTTGCAGAGTTAGAAAATCCATTCCGTCGAGAGAAGAAAGATCCTTCCTCTTCTGACAAGTCCGGGATCCAAAAGGTTGCATCCACTGACAGTAGCGATTCTAGTGGCTGTAAGGGCTTCAAAAATAAGAAAATAAATCTGTTCAGACTGTCAAGGATGAATCGCATCAGAGGTTCAAACTCTATCGAAAAGGAGGCGAAGTCCTCTCGTGAAAAGACGAAGACCAAAAGTAGAAAGAACGCTTCTACTAGAGCAAGTATCTTTAGCAAGTCATCAGCAGAGGAGGACGTTTTTGAAGGAGTAGAAGACATATCATCGGTAGAGCAGGAACAACAATTCAGCATGCATGAGAAATGGGATTCCTTACGCGTGGAGAATATTTCGATAAAGGGGTCTGCCTCTCATGTTAGTGATTTGAGCGAGAGCGTTTACTCTTCATCGCAGAAGGGGACTGAAGACGAAGTCGAGGAGGAATCAGTGCAACTCAAAACGAAAAACATCATCAAACCCTTCCCTATCCCCACTAATGAATCACCCGCAACCGTCACTTTGAGTCCCTCAATAACGACTTCTTCGGTCATGTCGGAATCCACAAAAAAGTCACTCGTGAACAGTACGACAGCACGAAGCGAGGGAAGCACTGCAGGCTTCTCGTCGTATGAGTCTACTACTACCACACGAGACGGAACTAACTCGGTCAACTCGCTCGAGCTTGAAAATTCAGGGGTAGAAACTACGGGTTTCTTTGATTACTTTGCTGCATATGCTACCGCTGTAATGACGGAATGCGCTAACTTGGCCGCTGCCAGTGGTGCTGCCGAGTACCAACAGGAATTTATGACTATATTTTCGGGTGGTGCTAGTGTTAACAATGCAGAGCTGCGACACCAGACTTCTAGAGATGTACCCAGCGAACACACAAGAAGCACTCTGTAGCATGAAATTTTCGACCGGGAAAACTCGGCAACGAAATTCTTTTTATACGGCGATGAAATAGGGAGAAGATGTCTCCGATTTCGGCACTCAATATTTCCTAGATACAAGGTTTTGAAGCATGGGATAGATTGTGAGTCTTGCGAATTCAGTGTTATCTATCGTACACCGTTGGTCAACGATATTGCAAACTTCGCCAACGCATTGGCATGGGCAAAGTGGTGACAAAAGACCGTTTGGCTTCATTGGGTACTGGCAATTCATCGATACGCTGGGTATTACTGTATTGAGTTTCCTGGCATATGTTTCCTTTTCAATTGCCCGACCGTTGGATCGAAATTTTTCTTGACTCGTGGTATTTTGTGGCTCTCGTTTTGATTTGGAGCCGAGCCTGATGAACCATATGAAAATGTCTGTTTCGGAATAACCGGGGTTTAACCAGTGAAAATGTGATTCTTTACTGATTGGCTACTCGCTCTATTAACATGCTGCTAAAAATTCTAGCAATCGGTTTCAAAATATGAGATCCTAAGGCAAAACGTGGTCCCGATCGTGTTACCATGGTATTTTATAGTTGCTTTTCGATAATGATTACGACAGTGGAGGTGTCTCGTCTTCTCTGCCAGAACCTACGTCGGTACATGGGAAGTCGCTGGGCGCACCATCGACATCGGACAGGCCGCCATCATTGGCGGCGCCGTCCCCCTCCTCTATATGCTTCCAAAACAGAGTTCCAGTGTATACATTTCCCGGATCACTCTTTCTTGGTGAAGAAGTGGTATGATTAGCATTGTTTCCGTTGCTGTGTGTGATAATTTTGGTTTGTCTACTGTCTGTTCTCGTAGTGGTCGGCAGCGGCGCTCACGGGGAAGTTATGATTACCAAGCTTACTGAGGACCCCTTTCTCGTGATTATTTTTGTGACACAATGTGCTTCACTCTACACACCAAATTTATTCTCCCATATTTAATCCCATAGTTGCTCAACCTCTGCTTGATATTTCTACTTCTGGGGGTCCTGATACACAACCTCAACAGTTACGACAACAGTAACCTCTCACCATGACTCTTGGATTTGAAACTCTAGATTTACAAATGTGAACAGCAATAGTCTCAAATACCCTTGATGTAATCACTATTGTGGAACAATCATTCCTCTACCATATGGTTTCAAATTTATGGCACGGTCGGGCCCATCACTACCTCACATACAAGAAAATAAAGTAATAACTTTGTTACTATTATATATGATGAATGAATTCTACCAGCGCTTTCATGCAATATTATACTTCATCCACAACAGTCCCCACTGTTCCCACAATTGCATTGTTTTGGGTACTGTTGATGGGCTCATTGGTTAGTGCAAAGTTTCTAAACCTTTTGCAAAAATAAATGTCTTCAATCATGGTAAGGTCAACTATCGTATAGCGTGGGCCAAGCAAAAAAAGACGGTTATAACCGTACATTCGCAATTAAAGGTATTCGTGAACGGATATCAGTCAATATTCGTCGTACGCCGCACTCCCCCACACCATTAGAAAGCTCTTTGAATTCTCTTTTCAACCATGTGCTTATCACACTTAAGCGTCCGTTGGGGAAAAAGTTATTGCCCAAACTGTCAGTTTGGGACTAATATATGGTTAAATTATACGTGTGCATGGATAAGCGGCCATCTAATTACTGTGTTAAGACTGCTTCGACTCAACGGATTTGAGTCCCACAACGGACACTCTCCACTTCAACAGACAAAACTGCTCACTAAATTTGGCCACTAATCGTGTGAACTMATATCTTGGCAATTCCACTCCTTGATGCAATTGTTTTGTGTCGGAAGCATTTCCCTGTGCTTTTAACACAATGTATCGATCCCATTTCTTTCTCTTAAAATCGATCGAGAACAATACACACTGTGACGGAGAGCACCCCTGCTAAAAATGGAGGATACTGGAAAAAGCAAGCAAAAACTGCATAATAAGCAAAACAAGCAAAAGAAGCAAGATGAGCAACTCAAAACACCGGATTTCCTAGTGGAAGACCTCCATAAGGATGTATATCAATACGCCGAGAGCTCTCCAGACTCAGTCCCTCCACGACGCATGGGAGCAGTCTTGTTTGGCTGTCTTCATCCAAAGCAAAGAGTGAAGTTAAAAAAGAGGAGAGCAAAAACAAAGAAGGCAAGACACCAAGCCAGGTTGCTTGTTTACAAAGGACCAAAGGCCTGTGCTCACAAGCACTGGTTGCCACGACGGAAGCTTGCAATCGTAAAGGGCAACATGGAGATGAAGTGGCACCCAGCATTGAAGGCAAGGGAAGCAATGGAGCTCATAAAGCAACAACAAATAGACCCAGGGATTGGATGGAAGATACAGATTGTAATGGACCCCTTGGCCCCTCCTTCAAAAGCCCCCGAGCCCCCTCCACCAGAGATAATCGATGATCCCTCACCACGGGTCCAATTCATATTGAATCAAGACTGGAAGTGGGTGGAGGATTGGGAATGGGACCAAAAGCCAACRCCATACAACAAAGAGCTGAATGAGACMTGTGCTGGCTGTTTAAAGAAGACCTGCTTGAAGAAGAAAGATCTTGCAAAGGCAATAGAGCTTGCTAGATTCGCGAAGCCRCTATTGCCTCCAACAATGAGTGTTGGTGACAAGCACGAGTGGTTCTTAGAGATATACAGGTCTGTAATGAAGAGGGAAAAGAATGTAACCCCCTGCATTCAGTGTGCAAAAGAATTTTGCTTTGAYRAGTGGGGACATCCCATGTATGATCAAAGAAGCTTATCCTTTGATTCAGCTGACTATGAGGAGATGAATCATACAGACGAGGCGGACGAGTTGGATCGTGAGAACCAGCAACTGAATCAGCAACCAAATAAGCAACCGAATAAGCAACAACCAAATAAGGAGTGTACTATTCATATTTAAGGAGGAGTTTGCTGATATGGAGGAAGGAACCAAATGAGCAACCGAATGAGCTGATACGATATGGAGGAATGAACCGAATGAGCAACCGAATGAGCTGATACGGAGGAATGAACCAAATGAG